TGGTATACTTCAAGTATATGAGGCATGAAAACTACAAGAGAAGTATACTTCTTCAATGTGAAGCGTAATTAAACTTGAAAAAAACCATAAAGCATTTTCGCCGACTGCTCTGCCGTATGAAATACATAAATTAATTACCCCTGTAAAGAACGTGATTTATATTTTGCTCGAGAAACGCAATAAGGATTTTTCGCGGTGGAGAAAAATAATGACCCAGCGGGGTATTTTTATTTTCTTCCTGAAAATAAAAATCAACCAATGTGCGCTGTACACTGATTGTATAATGAAAATCACAAATTGCTAAGGCCGTAGTTCTTGAGAATTCATTTCTATTTTTCACAATATTGACTGTCCGATGCCCATAGTGACTAATCTATATATACATATATTGCGTAGCCACATTCACAGTCGCGAGCGATGAACGGTGGAAAGTCCAATTTATTATCGAGCACCGATCAAGATAAGTTAATTGATGCCCAGCACGATCATCTTTTGAGTAATCAACGTCATCGTAGGAAGTGTACGCCAAGCTCCCCCGCGGTGTTAGACGCAGCGTCGTCGTCGTCGTCAGAAGGCTGACTGATCGTCAAACTACGCGCGTGCAGCCTCGATTTCTGGACGGACGAGAGCCCGTGGGACCGTAATTTTTGCTCCGCCCTGCCGTGTCACTTAGCGCCGTTTGAGGCGCGTTATAAAAGTACTTGCTCATCTTATAAATACGCACACCACGCGACTCTTGCTGCACGCTGCGTGATTCGATTCTTTTCTCCCCCTGTCTTTGGGTCATACGAAATGGTGCTTTCTCTCGCGATGACTTTGGGCACTCGTGTTTTAATGACGCGCTTGTCGTTTTCTTTTATTGGAGGCTTTTGTGTTCGCGTTAAGTGATTTTCGAAAGCTCGCGGTGAAGGCTCTTTTCAAGTAAAATCTGTAAAATGGAGGATGATCGAGCACACATAATCTAAAATGAGTAAGGATTATTAATAGATAGATCAGCGTTAGCCGCGTATATTAGCAAGATGCGATCGGCTCGAGCTTGGAGCCTGCAGAAGACTCGAGGTAAGGAAAACGAATAGATCGTGCGGGGACAGGACCGGACGTTCTTACACGACATTAGCCGCAGATGAGGATCGATAGTGTCCCTCTGTGCTCGATGCTGAAATGCAAAGCTTTGGGCGTGGATATCTTCTCGCTCCTTCTCGCGGCGAGGGGTATATATGGTAATGATCGTAGCTCGCGATAAAATCCTGAACTGCCGATTGAGAGCGACGACGACGACGGCAGGCAGGCGCGGCGTTTCTCCCTCGGCTTTAAATCGAATTACTCCTAATTTGTCATCATTCGGTCGCTCTTCGATCTTTATCTGCATTCCTTTTCAATCAAGATATTACCCATTACTCATATTTTGCGAATGCTACGTCATCTCAACTCCTAGATTATAGGAAGATTATTGAGACTTGTAATCGTCAAGTGTCTATTTTTTTAAATACATATTGTAGGTTACAACATAACAATTAACGGATCGATAACACTTTGAATGATAATAGACAACTTTGAATAAGCCGTCGAATAAACATGAGTGAGATACGATCGTCGTGCAAATATACATTACCGTGGCAACAAGCTCTTTGTAATACACACATCGCAATATACAATGAATTTCATCACTACATCGAAAATCAAGATAATTAAAGCTCGACACTAATCTCGTCATATCGAAAAAAAATTAGTATTTCCCAATGGCAATACCACGTGGTCGATTGTGATCACCATCCCGTTAAAAAAAACTGCACCCACACTATATATATATAAACGCCACACATAATCTATTTTATCTTTTATCTGTGGCTCGCGACTCTTGGTACTCTCTCTCTCTCTCTCTCGCTCTCGTTATCAGCTGCAGGATCGCCAATCGGGCTATTTGTATTCATAAGTATCCGCAGGAGGCCGGCGCTCCATCGCTGCCGTGTGTGTATGCGTTGCAAGGATGACTTTTTGAACGAACCCGAAAAAAGATACGGTGAAAGGCGCCTCTCTCTCTCTCTTTCTCTCTCTCTCTCTCTCTCTCTCTCTCTCTCTTTCTCTTTCTCTCTCTTTCTCTCTCTCTCTCTCTGTCTCTCTCTGTCTCTCGTTTGTACTACGTCATTTGCGTGCCATCCAACTACCCTCTTTTGTTCGCTGCGAGCGCCTGATTTTCGCTGAGCTTGCACATGAGATTGCAGCGCGTTTTATTAAATTATATCTGCGCGTCTCGCTTTATTAATTGCTGATTATCTCACGACTACCAATAAGAGATAGAGAGAGAGAGAGAGAGAGACTCTTCCTTTTTTTCATTGATAAGTTTCGTCAAGATGCAACAAATTCTCTTTCGGAGCGATTTGTCAAAGCGGATAAATCTTAACGGTGCAAAATGTAAATATAACGTGATAAGCTCGTAGAAATCATTGAATTGTTTAATGCTAGTTACTACATAGTGCAAAGCATTGCGGCCTAACCCATAAACATCATCTACATCACTTCATTAAACGGAACGATCGCCGTGCATCAGTTTCTGGACTCTTGTTCCGATGACGGCGTGTACGTGCAGCACTAGCCCGCACCTTAATATTCTCTGCCACCGATTTAGATTTCCAGTACACGTTTTTTCCATGGCATTGCAGAATACGACATTACGCTTGTATACAGCGTCGATGCGAGAGAGAGAGAGAGAGAGAGAGAGAGAGAGAGAGAGAGAGAGAGAGAGAAGAATGCGACCAGTCATCGGGTTATTTAATTTTTCGTATTTATATATATACACCACCCGTTGTGCGTGTTTGCTCGGACCCGCTGTGAGCACAAATTAGTCTTCGCGACCAAATCGCGCGCGCAAAAGCCAACGCTTCTCTCACGAAACGCATATAACCAGACAGCTTCCCTATAGAAACAGTTATCCTGTGCGAGTAGCGATATACGAGTTCGATCGAGCTTCTTATTTCTTTTGGAGAGAAGATCGTCACGCTGCCATATAATTTTGTTAACCTCCTTTTTTTTGCCAGATGACAGATTCAGTCGTGGACGATGATTTAAAAAATATCGTTTGCAGAGTGGCAGTTAATTTATTCACGGTTGAAAAAATGGGCGTGAGTCTCAATTAAAAATTATCAACGTCAGATGAAAATAAAAAAAATAGAAAAACAATAAAAGAGCATCAGATCTAATTCAGCGTCGGTAATAAATGCAGAGAGAGAGAGAGAGAGAGAGAGAGAGAGAGGAGAGAGAGAGAGAGAGCACAGCAGCAGTAGCAATAAGACGATATCTTGGTTGAATCTCTTTGAGGTTCGCGAAGCGGATCGGCAAGGGACAAGCTCGCGAACAATCAAAGCCATTTGAGGCTTGCTTCGTCGCCTCCTCGCGCAATCTCCATGTGAGGTACACACGCACGTACACGCGCGCACACACATGCACAGCCAGAGTGAGACACACACAGGGGTTGGCCTAATAATGGCATTAGTTTCCACCTTGCGTGGCGCGCATTCGCAGATAGAGCCGCCAAGGCTCTCCTCTCCACCCCTCGCGCCTAAAGGGATCGTCTTTGTCATCATGCCATAGTATATATACCGCCATGCTGATCTGGCCGCCTACACGCACAGCTAGCCAAACACACTGAACTACCTCTCTCTCTCCCTCTCTCTCTCTCTCTCACTTGCTATCTATATGCTAATCCATTGAGATGGTACCCGCAGATTACACCACGGAATTAGTCCGCCAGAGGACGCTCTAAGCCATCCACAGTGAGATTTCCCTCTCCTACTTAGAGGATTATATGCACCCGTTAAAGGCAGACTCTCTCTCTCGCTCTCGCTCTCTCTCTCTCTCTTTTAGTCTGTTCATGCTGAAGGGATATTGCTAAAAAAAGTGTACTTGAGACGCAGCGAATCAATTTGTAATTGTCGATTTCATGTACACGCATACATCGGTCGTTGATTGAAGAAGTTTCGTAAGATACACGTGCCGTGGATTTTCAACGAGTCATCACGCTCCTTAGACCGAGGAAGAAACTAAATGAAACTAAATTTCAAACACCTACGCACCGTTGGAGATCGTTTCTCACGCGTGACTCGGCAATGCTGATCGTCATATGCCTTCGCCTTGTGAATACGAGGTGATAATAGTACATTATGGTACAAGTACGCAAAGCAGGTGATTCCAGAACGAGTGTAACGAGTCCAACAGAAATTAAATAAATTATAACCCGATTATATAGGAATTAATTACGATGATTATTCAAGAAATTTATGTGGAATTATTAAAGAAAAGTTTCAATGGTTTACATTATATTTATTGAAAATTATTTTATTTCCGTTTAGCCCATCGGCTCATGCATCACCCCGCCCCACACTTTTAATCTCAATGCATAGAAAATCATACTATAATAAGTCGAATCGGCGATTGAGCCAACATCGCAAGCACGTACTTTTCGAATATGTCGTATTGCAGCCTAGGCGTGACCAAACTTGGTTATATGTTTATATTTACTGTGACACTTCATTATCCCAACACGCTGTTAGTAAATTAGAGAACAGTGAAGAAACGGAAAACTTTACGCACGCTACGAGACGAGCATCTATTTTCTCGCACTTGTATCGTAATGTACTATTTCAAAATCACAGGTGGAGAGCGCGAATGCGCACGTTTTTCGATGAGTCTACGGCAAAAGCGTACTTTCCGCGCAGCGTGCTCAAGTTGTACCAATGATTTTTCTCTTTTCTACAAGTGTCCCCTTACAGGTCCTCAGTTTTTCTGTGCGAAATTTATGAAATTTTGAAAAACTTGCGTACCTAGGTTGGGTGTAATAAATAAAACGTCTATTATAATACGACATTTTATTAACGTATTGTCCGGAAATTAATTTTGGAACATATTATTGATTTTTTAAATCCGATAGAAATCATTTCTGTAAATTTAAAGTATGCAACTTTGGTGCTGCTTTCAAAATTGATTGATGCCTGTATTTTTTGTAGGGAACTGAAGAAGATGACAGAGCATCCGTGGCATCGGTGAGTAAATACAAATATAATAAAAGTGTCTTATTCTCATAGAATTTATTACAACAACTAAAGTTTGACCGACACATTTCTCTTCGATTCAGCAATTAGATGGCAAATCCCGAGAATGGTTGGTAAGAGCAGCTCAAGGTGACTATCAGGCTTTGGCGAAATTGGCTGCCGAAGAACCTCGTCTCACTAGGACTAAGGTAAGTGAAACTGATTCTTTTTCGTCTATACGATTCCAGCACACGGAAGAGCATTAACCAAGCCAAAAATCCGTGCGCAAAAATATATATTCCTATTTCATATATACCGTAGCACAAATTCATTGCCAATTACCCAGCTTGAAAATTAACTCGCTACGCGCAGTGAAACATATTACGCAAAAAAAAGTCAATATACATCGAAGAGCCAAGTTTGATCCCAACGGCAGCCCACGGTAGTTCGTTAGCGGCTGACTATTACCAGGCATACCGCTGTTCCGGAGGAGTCCCGTAGGACTTTGAGTAAACTCCGGGCTAACAAGTAGGCGTGTTGGCGTTTCTCTCTCCCGCCCCATTTCAACTATACCCGCGAATGAAATGATCTACCGATCTCTCTTCGACTTCCTTTTCATATATATTTGTTTGTTTTTTTCTTTCTTCATCATCGGCGATTGCGTATTTTTACTGTTTGTTTCTCCGATGTTGATTACATTTTGTAAATTGATCCTTCGACGCAGGTGCGTGGCGTGGAGAGGTGGTGCACGTTTTACGAATCGAGTTATTGCACGATCATTATCTTTACGATATACCAAAAGTAGTAGGTTTCTATGGCATCACTCATTGTTATGGTTTGCATTTGTTGATAATTTGCCAGCAAGCGCCACCAAGCGAAATTTGCGTACAAGTCATTCAATGGATAACCGATGAATACTTCATGAGTCACTTAAAGATAACGAAGTACCAACGCTTCTGACTCTCCATTACAATCGCCCTTATAGTATACCGATCCCGCCCCCGAAAATATTAACGCCATTTGATTTATGCTTGTAATTATCCCTTTGCTTATATTTTCTTTTGTGTCGATGCTCGTGTGCGCCTTCCAAGGAAGAGCTCATTATTTCGTATCTTCTCTTTAACGCTTAGTATATATCCTCTTTAGGCTCTTTCTCTATCAGCAACAACCGAAGAAGCTGGTAGCACCGTCCACCTTCCGTCTGGTGATTTATGCGCGACACTCGTTTAATTTCATCGCCCAGAGTTGCAATCTACCTTTTCGTCTTATTCGTTTGGCTGCGGTTGAATCTTATGAATGAGCTTCTTCAATGAAGAAAATAAAAACAACCAAGAATCGGTTGAGCATAAGTAATTGTACATTGCAATTTTATACTTTTATATTTTGCGAATATCTTTGTTTTTAAATCTTCCAAACGTTTCATCGAAAGCTCTTGATAAATTATATATTGTAAGTTTACAACATTAGAAAATTTTTCATTTTCACTTTATGAAAATTTTAAAGAAGGTTGTAATTTGATGAAAAAAAAACAACATCAAAAAGACAAAGCCGCATTTGAAAATAAAACCGTAACAGCCATAAAAAAAATCTCAGGAAAGGAGACCGATTTTTACGAGACCTGCACAGCAGTCGAAAGAAAGAGAGGCGCCAGCACGGCGTCATCTCGCTATGGCATCGTTTTCCCGCGGCGGCTTCGTACGGTCCTACTACGATTGAACGACGTTTAAAGTTTCGCCGCTTTCGTAAAATCTCCACCCAGAAAGCTACCGCTTTTACGCGTCGTCTCCCTTATATATGAAAAAGTGTTAGGCGATCCTTACTGCTACGTGTTTCCGGAGGCTTTGCGTATGCGTGACAGATCGCCGGCCTCTGAGGAATCTTCAGTTTATCACTTTTTCCAGATCGTCTGAATTTTTCCGGATTCGAGATTCTATCTTTTCTTTTATTGCTAGAGGGGCTCCACAGGATGTGAAAGAATTTCGAGGTTGAGTCATCTTGTGAACGTTTTATATGTGGTGTTGTTTGTTCAAAAGTAAATGAATTTTCTGATTTCAAATATTGAAACTTTTTCGATGCAATTCATTAGTATTTTTTGGCTTTCTTTGTGAAATCCAATGTTTAAAAGAATATTTATTTGTAAATTTAATAAAATGTTAATTTACCATACCTTGACAAGATCGTAGTCTTTAGATTTCATTTTATGACCAAACTTTCATCAAATTATTGCAAACGATTAATTTTACATGCTATTGTAATAATTTTCAACGAGATTAAAAACATCCTTAAAGCTCTTAATATATCTGACTCGTCAAAATCGTTATTTCAAAATATTATCAAAAATATATTCTATTAGTTTACTCTACTATATAGAAATATAAGAAAAATTTCAATCATTTTATTATGTGAAATTATTTTCAGTTTCAATGAAATTGAATAATTCAGTTACCTAGAATTTTCTGTTCAAATTCGAACGTCTCAGCGATCGTAAAAAATATGACTAAGTAATAGCCACTACTTCCACGGGAGATAGGTTGAGCAGCTTTGTGACATGACAAAGACATATTTCCGACCATAGGGGAAGGAAACAATTCTTAGGTTTACTTTTTGTTCGGAAGGGTAAATGGCCACGAAAGAATTGAGACTGACTTAATGTCTTAAGGAAAAAGCTCAGTTTTTATTATTTTTCCCATGTCTAGCCAAACCGCAAAGAAGTTTACCAAAGTTTGACTATATACAATAATACTGAGTTCTCTACGGCCGGTTAGGCTTATTTTTAAATGATTTACTTTTCAACGTAAATCTAGATAACTATTTTTGACACTTTGTATCAATTTCTCATTTTAAGCTTAATAACATAACTTATGTTATAAAAAAGAAAAAAAAAATAGATGACAATATTTGAATCCATTGCTAAGTAACCATAAGCGAAGTTAAGATTTTACTAATTTTTAACATTATCATTTTTTAGTTTTGATTGCTTGTACTATTTTTATGAAATACAAGTATTTTTATGAAGTACTACAGTTTGTACCAATAAACAGCTCATTAAGGTTTTGAAAATTATTGAAATTTAAGTCCTCATTAATCGAGCGACGTTGTTTGAGATTTGCAACTAATTAGCTTTTCGATCTCATATCCAAAGCTAATCTTTTACGTAATTTGAATATATTCGTAGAATACATAAGTCGAAATAACTAGGGAACAAATTCACAAAGGTTAAGAATAATCGTAAAGTAACTTTAAAATTTGTCACGAAGCTATTAATTGTGCAGCACCTTAAAATGTATATAGTATAAGATTTGGAAGAAATACTCCCTCTATGAGATACTATCACGACAGTTTGTACTAATTCTTCAGCGCGGCAAACTATGCGTAAAATTTACGTACCTGCGACCGTATTTTATGATTTCACTTTGAAAATAATAATTGTCAGTATATTTTACAAGCGTAAATTTTTTCAAATTACAATTTAGTTTTTATTACCTATATATTTACGCACACGCGCGTACACACACACACACACACAAACCTGTAAAAGTATAACGTTATAATTGCTACAATTGTACTCTTAATCTCAGCAATCTAAAGCCTGCGACGCATGTATCACACCTAGTAATGCTTTGTAACGTTCACGTAATCATATCCTACAATTAAGAAAAAGGAAAAAAATGACGCCCAATTTTCAAATCCTATACAGCTACAACGGGTCAAACCAGCGTATCGTAGGTTGGATCAGGAGGTGCGATAACGTCATTCTACAATCATAAAAAGACACTGCTAGCATATTAAAAAGACGTCTAGCGCTAATTAACTTCGGGGCTGCGATGGTATCTATTCCACATGTCCACCAAACATCCGCTAGGTATAGCAAAGTAAACGTCCCTCTCACGCGCAGCACAAAGTCCCCGGGATTCAGGAAAAAAACACGTGTTTTGCTTGGTTTGTTTTTTTCGGGGTCAAGGGATGGATGCTTTCTATGCGAGCTGCAGCTGCCCTAATTTTTAATTTTTCGACGTGCGATTAGTATGCGAACGATTTGAGTTGACGTTAAGTGTTATGAGATGTCAGATATTTCTCGATGTTTTGCATAAGCTAATTCTTTTTTTCGTGCCTTTCCAAGTACAGCTCTCGCGTGAATTAAGAGATAAAAAAATATATGTATACACAGTCATACACTAGGGATGAATATTGTGTGTGTGCGCGTGTGTGTGTGTATGTGTGTTGGAGCGGAAAACATGTGTTCGAGAGGACAAAAAAAATGGTAAGAGTCACGTGTGTATGTTTTGTATGTCCCGTGTTCATAAAACGCGTAACTTCGTGGCAGTGCGTGTTTAAGCAAACAGCTCGCGTGTCGATTCATGCCCAAGATATATATTTTTGTCATTTCGACTGTCGTGTATCAGCGATTTTACGTAGGATACAATGCTATTGTTTTCTCTTTTCACTGTAAGTTAGTGCGCGCGTGTGGTGGGCTGATTATATTGACGCTGCTTTTTCGAATGGTGCATTTTGAATTCGATAAAAAGCTTCATTTTTTTCACTTGAAAAATAGATATCATTGGGACATAAAAAATCGAGCGGATTATTCCTTCTGATAATTCAACAGTTGCACTTTGTGAAAATTATGCACTTGTTAGAATGTACACACAGTCGTCATTGATTCAACGAACGTTTCACAAATTTTTCCCTGCAGCGAGTAAACCAACAAGAAATTTGAGAAATTGGCGAGAGAATTCGTTGAAGTCGCGTTCAAAGAAGAAAAAAAGAGACAAGAGACTCGCGTCGCCAAGTGATGAATTCAAGAGTTGCTCATTAATATTTCAGTGTCAGCGCGCCGGGTTTTTGTCATTTGTACCGGCCAACCGGAGTGGGCGTGTCCCCTCTCCAAAAAAACAGAAGAAGAAGTAAAAACAAAAGCAGCGTGCTGAATCTCAAACCGAAAGTCCTCTGATTGCGTTACGATGTTATCTCGACAATTTACATCTATTTTCATTTCTCCTTTTCCGTATGTCTGTGTAATGCCGCTAAAGGTTTATTAGGTTATAAAGATCCACGGATATAACTAATTTTCTATCGCGTTGACAGTAAGAACTAGAGATTGCACACATACTTGATTACGGAATTGTACGTGTGAGTGCGCATAAGTTCATTATTTAGTCAACACGAGCTCGCACAGCGTGTCGCGCTTAATGTCTTCATTTAAAAACTC